CCCCCCCCCCCCCCTCCCCCCCCCCCCCCCCCCCCCCCCCCCAGCGCCGCCGTCTGCCAGGGACCCCGCGGCGTTTCCGCATCCTCCGGCTCCTGGCCATGGGAGGACTTTGCACCGCTCCGGTGCGGCAGCCAGATTCCGCATGGCACCCAGAGGTCCCCGGCACACGCGGGGCAGATCCAGCACAAGGAAGGAGGTGCCGCGTGGCAGGGCCCAGCCGCGCAGGGCCGGGTGCTGGGGGAGCGGCAGAGGGCTGGCATGCTGCCCCCGCCATTATCTGCATTCCTCAGCTATCCAACGTGGGGCTGGGTGCGGCCACGGCCATGGGGAGGGGGCCGGCAGCGCCGTGGGGCAGGACACGGCCTCCTGCCCACGTCCCAGCTCCATCGGCTTCATGCTGGAGCCACCTGCCACGTCCAGGGGTTGCCCGTGGCGGGGAGCAGATCCGTGGACCCCCTCCTCCAAGGGGAGACGCTCTCAGGAAGGGCCAAGCCCTGGCAGCGAAGCAGTCGGCGCTCGCGAAGCTGGGAATATTTCGGCAGGCAGAGAGCAGGCAGGGCAGGCAATCTGGCTCCTCTGCCAGGCAGCCCACGCGGTCCCTCAGCAGGGCCGGGGGGAGACCGGGCTGAGACCCCCTCCCCGGCTCAGCCATCAGAGCCGCAGAGACCAGAGAGAGGAGGCGGTGCTGCGACGCGTGGACTCGAGTGAACCGGAGGAATCCAAACAATATCCCCTTTCTTCAGCGTTCCCGTGGCGGAGGGAAGGAGCAGAGGAACCCTGATTAGAAACAGTGCTGAGGCGAACGCCCCCGGGGAGCTGAATCAAGGCACCGGGGTTTGTGCGTTGTTCGGGGCGGCCATCGCTCAGCCCACCGTGGTTTGCTGTGAGAGGACACGAGCGATGGCGGGGGGTGTGTGTGTGTCAGCCTCTTCCCAACCCGATGACCAGCCGCCGGCACTTCAGTCACCCCACGGAGCCATTTCTAAACAACTCTCCGACTCTCGCCTCAACCCTGGGCTCCTCAGCCACTATGGGAACACCAAGGGCTGCAGCTCCGTTTCATCAACCATGTTATTTGGCCTCTGCAGAAGCCTGGGTCTGGCCAGGTTTCCAGCAGAGCTCAGCAATTCAGGACACTGGGACGGTGTGGCACTGGCTATCAAGACAGGCCCCTTGAGATATCTCAAGAGTCAGACACCCAAATCGCTCACCTCTCTGGAAAACTCTGGCCTTCATATCCAACTCACCTGTTAAGATGGAAATTAGCCGAGCAGGCAAGATAAAATCGCACAAGACCAGCCCCACGATAGCCCCCGGGGAAAGCCAAGAGCCGGTTTTGTGTGACAGTTCCCTCTCCTCCAGCATCCGCCCGCTCCTTACCTGGTGAATCGGACTTTGCAGATGTTGCACTCGTAGGGCTTCTCCCCGGTGTGGGTGCGGATGTGGCGCGGCAGCTTGCCAGCCCCCTGGATCACCTTCTCGCAGATGGGGCACTTTTGGAATGCTTTTGCCCTGATCTTCTTCTCCACCTTCTGGGACCAGGACGGATAGACGTCGCCCTCGTTCGAACTGCCGAAATATTTCAAGTAATAATCCATGACCCCATCGTCATCTTTTCGGTCATCCTCCCCGAGCTGCTGTCTCCCCACGGAACTCATCATTTGCTGCAGCAGGGCGCTAGCAGCCAAGCCATCCACCTCCCTCACATCATCCTCCGTCTCCGCTCCAGCAGGAACGAAGCTGGGGGAGTCACCGGCTTCCTGCTGGTCCAGAGGCCCCCCCGGGGTCCCCTCCTCTTCTCCCGGTGTGGGCAGGCCACGGCCGCTGTAATGTCCATTCTGAGAAGGTGAAAACAAGGAGCCAGGAGCCGCCTCCTCCTCCTCCCTGTCCAGCCACATGGCTGAATTGCTGTCAGGATCACAGTCATTTGGCTTTGGTCTTTCGTTTAGGGGGGCTTGCGAGTAGAATTCTATGCCATTGCAGTCCGGCTCCTCCTCCTCCTCTTGGCCTCGGAAGTTCAGTCTCTGAAGGTCTCTCAACTCTGGGTTGGTCCACGGAAAGCTGCCTTGGTGGCCATTGACGGGGTTGCTCTGGAAGAACTCCAGGTACTCTTTTGCTCTGAGATGGTTCCTTTGATCAATTTGATCTACTGTATCCATCTGGTCATTTTTGGCCAGAATCTTCCTGTCCAGGAGATCCGTGCAAACATCCCTTACCGCCGGGATCTCCAGCAGTGTGGCGGCATTGAGGATGTCATTGACATTTGAAGTGCTGACAGTAAGGGTCGCGGTGTAAGCGAACTCCAGCAGAGCCGACAAGGCGTCCGCACTCACAAAGTCTATCTCATACACGTTTTGCTGGTCCACCACTAACCCTGAGGTGAAGAGCTTCTTGAAGTACTGGCTGCACGCCGCCAGGACGGAGCGGTGGGTGGGGAACTCCTGGCCTTCCACCAAGATGATCACGTCGCACAACAGCCCGTTGTTTCTCTGCTCATTCAGACTGCTGAGGATGTCGCTGCTGTGATCAGGGAACGGGATCCCTATGGGGCCGTCCACGCCACCCGCCATCTTCGATGCAAAAGGCTACGAGAGAAGAAGGAAAGCGCAATGAGTCACAGGGGCCTTGGCTGCTTGGAGGCATCACAACGCACGGGCAAACTCCCAACGCAGAGCAGGTAGCTGTCCGCCGATGCCAGCGTGCTCTGCAACAAGCACTGGCTATCGGCTGGCACGTCCTCTGCACCTCTCCACATCACCGTCGAGTCTGCCGTCCTGCCCAGCATCTAAGACGTGCCTCCATCAGCAGGCAAGGGCAGACCCGTGCTTACCTTCACTCTGGGAAGGAGGAGGAGAAACACAGCCCAGGTGCTCTCAAGATAGAGTCTGGGAGAACAGCTGAATTAGCACGGATCTGGGCCAGAGCTAGCAAGCCTTGGCAAGGGCCAGGGTTAATACAGCAAGACAGCATCTGGACCAAGCTGGCAGGCGTGCCCAGCATTGGGCTACAGTGGCTCGTCCCTCACCAGTGGACCCCGGTCCACCTCTGGGAGTATTTCCCAATCCCACCGCTTCTACTGGAAATGTCCCCTGCTCATTCAGACTTGCTCTGCCCAGCCAAAGTCCTGATACAATCACGTAATCGTTGGGAAAATCGTTCCCATCGCTTGTCCCTGGGCTCCCGGGGTCTGCAGCTGCTCTCAGACAGATGCGAGCAGGGTGCTGGCAGGGAGCATCCTTTGGAAAGGGCACAGCAGCGAGCTCAGCGCTCAAGGGCACCGGTGTGCAAGAACAGGGGAGCACCAACCACCCCAGCCTGCTGCTAAGGGCGTTTTACAAACAGCCGAGCTTAAACACTTAAACCCAAGGCACCCGCTGCACCTTCCCCAGGAACATAAGCCTCTGCAGTGGCCGGAGAGGAAAGGAGACCGGTCTCATGAAGCGCCGGCAGCAGACCTGGCACCAGCCCCTCGCATCTCAGAAAGGCTTTTCAGCAGAAGCAGCAGTTCTTTCCAATGCCGAGGGTTTGTTTGGGAAAAGATAAATAAGTCACTCCTGATGCGCTAGCACGGCAGAAACAGATCCACTTGACTTTAAATACACCCTCTCTTCAAAGGCTGAAAAGCCAGAGTGAACCGAGCAGCCCGGTGCTGGCTCACCTCTGTTGGGAAGGGATTCCCCATCGCTGGGAGAGGGGCACCAGGGTCAAATGCAGGCAAGAGCAAAACCTGCCCAGCTTCACCACGCTGCCTGCTCTGAACAAGCCCCTGAATTCTCCCAGGCCCTGCCTTCTGATCCCCCAAACTGGGAATAATATTTCCCTCCTCTCTGTCTCAAGCCGCAAACCCCTCTACTCCTTGCCACAGAGATGCTGTCTGCCTATAAATCAATGTATTTCCACACCCACCCCCAGCAAGCGCTGGATCCTTAGGGGCTAACACAACCCGCAGCGTATCCACACACAAATAATTTCGTTCGCAAAACCGCTTGGCACAAGTGTAAGTATCAAAGTCCCCAGTTTACAGATGGGGAAACTGAGGCACAGAGGGAAGTGGCCTGCCCCACGCAACGGGGGGCGGGGGGGGATGGATGACTCAGGAGCACATCCAGAACAGAAGTAATTACACAGGAAGCAACTCCCAGCACCGTGTTATAGCACGGGGAGCTAGCAACCAGGTTGCAAAACAACGCTCGCTTCCCGACATACGCACCCACCCCCATTTTGGGCTTGCTAGCAGATTTCTCAGTAGTTCTCCCTATTTTCTGATTTTTAAAAAGCTTCATTAATTGAAGGGAAAAAAAAAAACCCAAGGAATTTCTGCACCTTCTTGTTTTGTACAAAGAAAACATAGGAGAAGGCAGTTCTGAGGAAGTTCTGAGCCTATGAAACACCAATCTGAAGCAAACACCTCAATATTAAACAACAGTAATGCATAAACCAGCCTTAAGCTCACCATGCCAAAGTGATGGAGAGGGGTCAGGCTGGGAAGGAAGAACCAGAGGAGCCAGGCTGGATGCGCGGGGTTGCTGGTGCAAGTCCTGCCACCAAGACCAAGCGCCGAAGCAAGGCAGCTTCCCAAGACGCCCAGAGCAACCTCCTAGGCTCCTACAGTGGCAGGATTTGAACTCAGAGCCATTATTTCACAGGGGTTTTTTTTAAATAAAAAGTCCTTGCTAGGGAGGAAAAGGCTGTTTGATGGCTAAGCGCAGCATGGGGACCAGGAAAGGCAGCACTCCTCCAAACTCGGGCACTGGCTTCAGGTGTGACCTTGGGCAAGGTCACCACATCTCTGCATCCGCAGGGGATCTGAGGGACATCCCCCCCCCACCAGTCTTCCCAAGAAGCTGGGCTACAACAGGGGAAGCCTCCGCTGCCTCAGCATCGCTTGCCCCATTCCCACCAGGGCAGCCCCAGAGTTGCCCAAAAGCCCCTGATCTGAGCCACCATGGCACTCCGCTCCCCAGAAAAGCCTGTCTGATACCCCTGTGCCCACCCCCCCAACGACATCAGAGCCTTCTCCCCCCGCTTCCCCTCTAAATTAGATGCTTTACAAAGCTTTTTCCCCCCTCCCTCTAATGAGAATTTGAGCTGCGTGAAGCATTTTGAAGCTTCAGGCAATAGTCTTCTGGGCAGCCAAGCTTCGTCACCCACAGAACCGGGCTTTGTCGGCTGCGGTGCCCGGCTCTGGGGACCGAGGGGGCCTGGGGGAGCAAGTCAGGCCGTGCAGGCAAGGTCACCCCCCCTCTGGCCAGGGGGCCGGGACAATCAGCCGGACAGTGTGGGAACGGCTGCAGGGTCATGAGACTGCCGAGGGCTGGCATGGAAAGTTGTACAACTTCGCAACTCATTCTCCTCGCACAACACGCCCTTTGTGTCCCTCATCTGCGGCGGCCGAGAACGTCGAGGGGCAAATGGGCTGCCCTGAGCCCCCCAGGAACGGCTTCGGCACCCGGATGCTCGAGCCATGGCCAGAGACTCACACGGCCTTAAAAATCACACCCTTTTCCCTTTTCCCTTTTCAGGGGGCTGAACAGCCATAGTATTAAAGCCTGGGGATTAGTAACAAGAGACAGAGCTTTCCACCTTTACAGGTTTGGAAAAAAAAAAAAAAAAGAAAAACAACCAACAAACCCCACCACCTGCATGCAGTAGGAGCAGGCACAGGGTGCAACCCCACAGCGGCAGGATGGGTGAAATCCACTTAGAAAGGTCCCGACAGCCAGGTGACAAGTGACAAAAGCCGCTGGCATGACCGCCAGCTAGTCCCCTCCTTGGCAAGAATAAGGTCTGAATGGGCCACCAAGGGGGAGCTTCAACTACTGACCTAAATTTCCCAGGCAGCTCTTTTCTCTCTCTACACCCTCCGACCGCCGAAAAGGCGTTACACACTTGTTGTCCCAGACTGCGTGTCTCTGCAGGGTTGCAAAGATGCCACATTTCACCCCAAAGTGGCTGCGTATGAGAAGTTAGGAAATACAACTTGTAGCAGCTGAGGGAGCACCATCAACTTAAAATACAGTCCATTTGAAAGAGAGTGTACAACAATACCAGCGCTCTCAAATTTATTTACAAACCTTATTTACAAACCTGGCATAACATGACATGCGTCCCTAACTACTCAGCTAACTCTGCTTTCATTCGTGCTGAGCCTGCTCTGCATTTCCAAAATACCAACGCAACCAATCTTCGGCTATCCCCGGCTCCCCAGGTCAGCCCGACACAACTGCAGCCCGATTCCAGGCCGGAAAAATGTAATTTTTTTGTGTGCAAGAAGTGCTGCTGAATGCTGCGAGCGAGGGAAGCCCTCCGCCTCCCCGAGACGCTGCTCGCGGCAATCTCAGCTGTTCCACCTCCAACTGGTTTTGCACTGAGGCCGACTGTAGTTTGATGCTGCTCCTCAACACTAAAAGGGTATTTTCTTAAGCTCAAGTTATCAACTCGCTCCTTTCAGACCTACCAGACGAACTGCAAAAGAGCAGAACAGAGTGTTAAACGAAACCCCTGAGCTTGCACTTTACTCACCTCTGAGTCCAGCAGGATGTCACCCAATCGCTTTCCTACAGGAGTTCTGGAATTTAACATTTACATTCAAATGAGACGACCACATTAAGATGGGATCACAACCAAAAGTGCTGACGAAACACTGCTTAATTACTAGTTTTCCACATAACCTCAGTGGGTTGTTTGGGGTTTTTTTTGTTGTTGGTTTTTTTTTCCCCTTTTGCTTCTCTGCATTTCTTTAAAATTTAGCTGGGTGAACAGAGGAACCTGAGCAGCTTACACCTCTGAAATACACAGGTATCAGGTGTAAGAGCTAAGTCACATCTGGTTAGCTGGGTAACAGCGAATGTTTTCAATGTGCTCTTCATCCGGAAAAGATCCCAAATCGCTTTACAAAGGCAGGGCTCTCCTCTCCCACAGAGTTGCCACCCACTCCAGCAGCACAGATGAGAAGCTTGAGCAACACTACGCACCTGCTCGGGGCAGAAAGGGAAAATTATCATCGCCTTTTCCACCGAGCACGAGGCGAAATGGCTTTAGGGCACTGCTACGATCCACAATGCAAGGTTTCCTGGGAACAACTGTGTTTTGGGCTACAGCACGTGGTTATTTGGCCTCTTGAAGCTCAAGGTACCAAAGGAATGGAGATCACAGGTTGCTAAGCCCAGTTTCTTAGAGGAAATGCACATGACAGTGTCAGGGCAGACTTTGCAGCAGCGCTGCTGTGTGGTAGAAAAGAATTATTAAAATAATGTTGCTATAAAAAACAAAAAACAACAAAAAAAAGTCAGTGGTTTGCTGCCCAAGGCCCAAACATTATCCTAGCCCTCACTCACCACCAACTGGAGAAACGGGCATTTTTTCCCTATGAATAGCTCACCCCAATTATAGGTCACACAATGTAAGTCCTTGTCTCTTCGCTTTATATTTAGGGAGCAATCATCCCAGTTCCCCCCTTCCTTCTTCCAGCTGCATGGACACATCTGCAAGCCTGGATCCCTTGAGATAAAACGCAGCTCTCCGGCCATTTGGAGCATGAGCCATCATCTCTGCTGACACCAAGCTCTGCAACATCCCAAGGACA